CATTCATTATCTAAACGGGAACGATCACGCGTCGCGCGGCTCGACCTGTCCGGGAGTCTTAGCTGATCTGACATGGAATCCGCGAAAATACTCAGCACCGGGCTCTCACTAGACGATGCGACGCTTCGCGAAAGTAACGCTGGTAACCACGTATCACCGTCACCTGCACGGGAAACCCTAAACCAGCTAGAGCACAGACCGACACCTCTAGGCGAAATGCCAGCCGTAGATACTGCGGAAATGCGAGTCGCGGACACTTCTCCTCCGGAAATGCGAGTCGCGGATACTTCTCCTGCGGAAATGCGAGTCGCGGATACTCCTGCTGAAACGATAGCAGCGGAAGCTGAGCCTGCGCAAGCCGTGGAGTTGGGGGAACCCCGTCACGAGGCGGAAGCCGACGACCCCCCGCGATTAACGGAAGCGACGACTCCGCCACCCACGGTAGAAGTGGCGGAAGCATCGGCAGAAGCATCCGCGACTGAGTTACCGCCAGGAACTGACAGAGTTCAAGGTCAAAGTAGTGACGGTGGCGATGATAAAGCTGGTAACTTTGGCGATCGAAATGAAGCGAGTAACTCAGTCGCGAATGCTTTCGCCGATGCTTCTGGCGACGATCTCGGTCTAGGTCCAGCTCAGCATGTTACCACTGCCCCTAGTACTAGTAGTGATAGTAACGCCGCGATTCTCGCTCCGAAAGGGCCGATCACAGACGCTCGCAACGGTCAAGACGCGGCGAACACGTCAGCGCGGCACCGCGAGCGGGTAGACGCGACAGGGCAGCTGCTGTTCCTCGCGAGCCGCGGCATAATCGAGGGGGTTGTGGACCTATTGGATCGCGGCGTGAGCCCGGATTTGGCGGATTATGACGGGCGAACCGCGCTGCATCTGGCGGCGAGCGAGGGGAAGGTGGATGTGGTGCGGGTGCTGCTTGAGCGAGGCGCGGATGTAAACCCCAAGGACCGCCATGGCAACACGGTGAGAAGGGGTGCAGCACGGCTAGAAAGGGTGCATGGCAGCAGGCGGATGGTGTGAAGCATTGATCCTGGCCGCTTGGGTTCGTCCCCCCCTCTGAAAACTGTGATTTTTCATCGTGGTGACTCCAACCCAACTTGTTACCTGGTGAACGGAGCTGAATCGTCGTGTTGTTACACCATATCGTTAGCCAATTTTACAACATCACACTGTTGGTTACTTGGTTACTATGTGGCATCACAATGTTACTCTTCTGGCATGGAATGGCATGGCATGGCATGGAGTGGCATGACATGGGATGGTATGGCACGGCATGGCATGGCGTGGCGTGACGCGGCGTGGCGTGGCATGGAGGCGTGGCATGGCATGGCATTGCATGGCATGGCATTGCATGGCATGGCATTGCATGGCATGGCATGGGATGGTATGAAATGGGATGGTATGACATGGCATGGCATGGGGTGGGATGTCGTGTGATGGGATGGGATGGGATGGGGTGGGATGGCATGGCATGGTATGGGATGGGACGGGATGGCATGATATGGGATGGGATGGCATGGCAAGATATGGGACGGGATGGCATGGCATGGTATGGGATGGGATGGCATGGCATGGTATGGGATGGGATGGCATAGCATGGCATGGTATTGCATTCCATGGTGGTGTTGCCAGACATGGCATGATATTGGATGGCATGGCATGGCATGGCGGCCATTGCCCGCCTCCCTCCCCCCCACCCCCTCTCCGCCCTTCCCCCCTCTGGCAGCCCTTGGCGGATGCGCAGTCGTACGGATCCGGGGAGATCTGCCGCCTGCTCAAGGAGAAAGGGGGCATGCTCTGTGAGGTGCGCGGAGTCCGTGGGGGGGGAAGGGGGGCGGGGGGATGGTGTGGGGAGGGGGGGGAGGAGGGTGAGGGGGGGGGGAAGTGGGCTGGGGAACGAGGATTTGCATGGGATGTTAGTGGTTAGGTTAGGAACGCGCAAGGGGGGTGAGGAGGTGCTTACATGCAATTTTCATTCCTTGTCTGCCCTCTCCCTTGCCCGCTGACACTCTATCCACTAACAAACGAGATATCCCTCTCTTCCTCCCCCCTCCCCGCCCTGCTTACCTCCACTCCCCTTTCCCCTCCTCCCGCGTTCCTCTTATCGCTCCTGCATTTCTTATTGAAACCCCATTTTTCCTGCGGTCACCGTAAATCCTTTCGCTCCCTCCGCTCCAACTCATCCGCTCCCTCCTCTCCTTCCTCCGCTCCCTCGCTCCAACAACTTTCTAGATTCCAACCCATTCCCTCCCTCCTCTCTCCCCCCCACCCCTGACAGAGTGCGCGCATGCGCAATGCAGCATCCAACTCGTTTAATCAGCACGACTACGAGATAGACGGCAGTGAGATCGACCTGGGCACGTCCAAGGTCATTGGCGAGGTGCGCCATGGGGGAGGGACATTGGCGGGTGTGTGTGGGAGGGGGGGGTGTGGGGGAGGAACATGGGGGCGGTTGTCAGCTCGTTCAGCCAGCACGACTATGAGATCGATGGCAGTGAGATCGACCTGGGGACCTCCAAGGTCATAGGCGAGGTGCGCAGGAGGGGGTGGGGCAGGCAACCAGGAAGGGGAGGGGGAAGGTGGGGTGAGTTGAGGATGTTTGTGGTGTGCCAGGTAGTCAGCTCGTTCGTTCAGCCAGCACGACTACGAGATCGATGGCAGTGAGATCTCACTGCCAGGCGAGATCTCACTGCCAGCGAGATCTCTCTGCAGCACCTGGGCACGTCCAAAGTCATAGGTGAGGTGCGCAGATGAGGAGGGGGGGGTGCGGTTGGGTGAGGGAGGGGGACACATGGGGGGGCACGTGTGTCAGATAGTCAGCTCATTCGTTCAGGGGGAGGGGCAGCCAACCAAGGGGGGGGGGGGGGAGAGGTGGGGTGAGTTGAGTTGAGAATGTTTGGCGTGTGTCTCATAGCGAGCTCCTTCAGCTTCAACCAGCACGACTATGGGCACGTCCAAGGTCATAGGCGAGGTGCGGAGGAGGACTGGGTGGGAGGAGGAGGGTGGGGGGTGAGCAGAGTGAAGGGAGGGTGTGAGCAATGCGAGGTGGGGTTGGGAAGGGGCGAGGTGTGAAGGGGGAGGGGGAGGGGGTGAGTGCAGGGTCATTCTGGGAAGTGCAGCTGCTGAGGTTCTTTGCCAGAATGCTTCTCCCTGCTCCCTCTCAACTCCCTCCCTCTCAACGCCTACCCTTCCCCTCCTCGCTGTCGCCTGCTCCCCCTCCCCCCCCAACCCAGGGGTCGTTTGGGGAGGTGCGCCTGGCGAGTTGGAGGGGCACGCCCATCGCTGTCAAGGTGCTGCGAGATGAATACGCTGCCGACCCTGCCGCCCTGTAAGCTGCACGCTGCCCTGTAAGCCGCACGCTGCCCTGTAAGCCGCATGCCGCCCTGTAAGCCGCACGCTGCCCTGTAAGCCGCATGCCGCCCTGTAAGCCGCACGCTGCCCTGTAAGCCGCATGCTGCCCTGTAAGGCGCACTCGAGACTTGCTATTCATAATGTCATTCCTTGCTGCTCTCTAAAGTGAACCGCTTACTGGTCTTGCTAATACCTGCTCTGTAAGGCGAATTGTACGACCCCCCCCCCCCCTCCCCCTCCCCCTCCCTTCCCTCCTAGATCTTTGATATCTCTCTCAAAGATTCTTGATGTGCCGCCACCCTCCATTTCCTCGTTGCTCAACCCCCCTCATCCACAAACCCCCCGCCCACCCATCTCCTACCCCTCCTGTCCCCCCATCCCCCGTGCTCGCAGCAATGAGTTCAGGCAGGAGCTGCGGATTCTTCAGTCGCTGCGCCACCCCAACATAGTGCAGTTCTTGGGAGCCGTCACCAAGTCCCACTCGTTCCCCCACCTCCGTGCCCCCCTACCCGCCCCTCCTCCCCATCCCCCGTGCGTGCAGCAACGAGTTCAGGCAGGAGCTGCGGATTCTGCAGTCGCTGCGCCACCCCAACAAGGTGGTTCTTGAGAGCCCCCCCTGCCCGCCCCCCCTTGCCCGCCCTCCCTCCCCATCCCCCGTGCGTGCAGCAACGAGTTCAGGCAGGAGCTGCGCATTCTTCAGTCGCTGCGCCACCCCAACATAGTGCAGTTCCTGGGAGCCGTCACCAAGTCGCGCCCGCGCATGATTGTCACAGAGTATCTCAAGGTGGGCTTGCCTTCCTCAAGGTAGGCTGGTTACAAGGGGCCGCTGGCAATGGGTCTTGCTGCAAGCAGGCAGTTCCTGGGAGCTGTCACCAAGTCGCGCCCGCGCGTGATCGTCACAGAATACCTCAAGGTGGGGTGGGCTTGCTTGGCCCTAGTGTCGCTGGCTCAATGCGGCCGACACAATATGCCCGGCTCTGTGCCTCTCTCTCACCTTGCTGTCACCAAGTCGCGCCCGCGCGTGATCGTCACAGAATACCTCAAGGTGGGGTGGGCTTGCTTGGTTCAAGTCGCTGGCACAAGGTGGCTGGCAAGATTTGGTCCCCTTTTCCATGCCCCTCCTCTCCTTGCGCCCCCCTCCCCATCCGCCCCCTCCCCCATCCGCCCCCTCCCCCATCCGCCCCCTCCCCCATCCGCCCCCTCCCCATCCGCCCCTCTCCCATGCCCCCTTCCCCCTGTCAGGTGAATCTGAGGGACGTCATTCGCAGGAAGGGCGCTCTGCCTGCCCCTGAAGCACTGCGCTACGCCCTTGATGTTGCCAGGTCGGTGCGCCGTACCAGTAATATGTATGTATGTATATATGTATGTATATATATATTATTCATTTCGCTTGATGTTACCACGTTACCAAGGGTGCGCCCTTGATGTTGTCATGTCAGGTACCTCTTTGGTTTTAGGTTGACTCGAATGCACTGAGCTATGTTGTTGACTTTCCGCCGCCTCCCATGCAGTCTGATGCTTTCCCGTCTCTGTTCACCACACCCCATCCATGCAAACCCCTGCCCAGTGCGAATCCAACCTTTTTCTTAGTCGACTCAAAATTCACCTCATATCTATCCATGCAACCCCCTGCCCAATCATTTTTTCCCGCCCTTTTCATTCACCCTCCCTTCCTCTGCACTCCTCTCCTTCCCTCTCGTCTCTCCTCTCCGCTCCTCCCCTCTCCTCTCCTCCCCTCCCATTTCCCCCATCTCCCCCATCCCCCACATCTCCCCCTTCCCCCCCATCGCCCCCATCCGCCCGCACCCCTCAGGGGCATGTGCTATCTGCACGCGCACCGGCCAGACCCCGTCATTCACCGCGACCTGACCCCCAGGTATTCCATGGGGGGGAGTAACTGGGGAAAGGATGGAAAGGATGGAAAGGATGGGGGGAAGTGACTGGGGAAAGGATGGGGAAAAGTGAGTGGGGAAAGGATGGGGGGAAGTGAATGGGGAAAGGATGGGGGGAAGTAACTGGGGAAAGGATGGGGGGAAGTTACTGGGGAAAGGATGGGGGGAAGTAACTGGGGAAAGGATGGGGGGAAGTAACTGGGGAAAGGATGGGGGGAAGTGGCTGGGGAAAGGATGGGGGGAAGTGGCTGGGGAAAGGATGGGGGGAAGTGGCTGGGGGGAGAAGTATCTGGGGGAAGGATGGGGGGAAGTGAGTGGGGAAAGGATGGGGGGAAGTGAGTGAGTGCGGGGGGAAATATCGTGAGTGAGGGGGTGGGACGATTTTGGAGGCACACCAAAAGTAGCCTCTTCTGCTTTTCTCCACTTCCCTCCTTCCCTCGTCTTGCCTTTCCCCCTCTCCCCCTGTCCCCCTTCCCTTGTCACCTTTTCCCCCATGCCCTTCTCCCCCCAAGGCTTCCCGTGGGCAGGAATCTCCTGTGCGGAGTCCCAGGCCATCTCAAGTTGGCGAATTTATGCCGCTACTTAATCTCCTTTCCCCTTTCCCCCCCTTCCCCCCTTCCCCCTCCCCCCTTCCCCCCTTCCCCCCCTCCCCCCTTTCCCCCTTTCCCCCTTCCCCCCTTTTCCCCCTTTCTCCGCCACACTGACAGCAATCTCCTGAGGGACGACTCGGGCCATCTCAAGGTGGCGGATTTTGGCCTGGCAAGCATCCGAGCCACCGCTGCGGCCCCACCCAATTCATCCACGGGCACAGGGATGGGCATGGGCATGGGGATGGGCCTAGGCATGGGGATGGGGGGCACCAACATTGTCTCGCTCTTCCAGCCCAACTTCTCCCGCCGCCTAACCTTTTCCAAGCACAGCCATCGTAAGCAACCCTCACCATTTGCAACCCTTGCCAGCCATTGCCAAAACCGTTGTTGTTAGACGACTCACGATTCTGAGCCATCTCAAGACAGCCATTTCATTTCAAGCAACCTTCACCATTTGCAACCCCTCCCTGCCCTTTCCAAACCTTTCCATCCCTTCCCATCTCCTCCCGGCCCCTCCTCCCGCCCTCTCCCACCCTCTGCAAGTCATTTATGTATACGTCATCTATTTCTTCTCATTCTCAGTTCTTTTCCCTTCTCTCCTTTTTCTTTCTGTTATCTTTCCTCCTTTCTCTGTTTCTCTCACTTTTCTCTCCTATCCTTTCTCTCTCATTTCCCTGCCCCTTAAAATACTCCTTCTTTCTATCCTTTTCCCAACCCCCTCCGCGCGCCACTGCACGGCAGGCCTCTATTCTGCACCCGAGTTGTTGGCACAGCAGGAGTATGACAAGAGTGTGGATGTGTACTCGTTTGGAGTCATTCTGTTTGAGGTACAGTGTGTACTTGTTTAGAGATATTTCTCCCTTTTTACATTGTGTTTGCTCGTTTGGAGTCATGCTCATTGAGGCACCGTGTGGTGCACTCCTTAAGAGTAATTTACTTTGACATATCCTAATTGCACCTATTTTGCATAGACTATAATTTGTCCGTGTGTGTTGTTGTCTTCCCTTCGGTTTTCTTTCTGACGTCTAATCCACAAGTTCGTATGCCAATCAACCTCCTCCTGCCACTCACACTCGCACCACCTGCTTCTCAGATGTTTGAAGGGTACGACCGGATTCGCCAGTTGCTACCCGGTGGGACCAACCATGGGGGCAATCTGTTCCCACTGGCACTTAGCAGCAGCGGCCACAGCAATGCGGAGGGGGGAGCAGGGGGAAGCCACCACAGCGGAGGGGGGAGTTACCATGGGGGGGGGAGCTACCATGGGGGGGGGAGCTTGAGGGGTGGGGGGTTGTTTAAAGGGGGGAGTGCGGGGGAGAGAAGCAAGGAGGCTGCTGCCAGTGGTGGTGCTGGTGCTGCTGCTGCTGATGGTTCTGCTGGTGCTGCTGCTGATGGTTCTGCTGCTGATGGTTCTGCTGGTGCTGCTGGTGGTGCTGCTGATGGGAGAGGGAGTGAGGGAGAGGCAGCAGCAGAAGCAGCAAGGCCGGCTGACATTGCTCCTCCTGTCTTCACCAGACGAACATACCCCATGGGGATGAAGGAGTGAGTGTCGTATGGGTGTGCCCTGCTGCATGTGGGTGCTGCATGTGTTTGCTGCATGTGGGTGCTACATGTGGGTGCTGCATGTGGGTGCTGCATGTGGGTGCTGCATGTGGGTGCTGCATGTGGGTGCTACATGTGGGTGCTGCATGTGGGTGCCACATGGGTGTGCCACATGGGTGTGCCCTGCTGCATGTGGACTTTTGAGTCGACTCAAAAGTCATCTTCCCTCCCCCTTTTCCCCCATCTCCTTTCCTCCCCACTACTAGGCTGATAACAGATTGCAGGAGTGGAGATCCGGCAGTAAGGCCTTCCTTTGCACGCATTATAGAGATACTGGAGCAGATTCAAGAGGAGATGAATCCCACAAGCAAGAAGTCAAAGGCCAAGGCATCTGGCCCTGCGTGTTGTACAGTTTTGTAACAATGTAACCGTGCGGCATCACAGCTTTGTGTTGCGTTCTATTCCCGTGTTTGGTGTAGCATTGTTAGTTGGCAAGCAATGGGTGTAGCATTGTTAGTGTGGCAACAATGGGTGTAGTGTAGCATTGCTAGTCTGGCAGAAATGGCGCGGATAACCTTTCACATAGAACCATGCCGTTGCATAGTGCAAATGTAAGCACTCACAAATACATCGATTCAGATAGCCAAGAGAGTCAGCCACAATCGATTCGATAACCACAGCCATGCATCAACCTCAAGCCTATCAAAAGTGTCAAAATAGACCCTAGGGTCTAATAAACTGGTCACAGACACTACTATGTAACTGCACAATTATAATACACCAGTTCTTTTGCAAAACTGAAGCAAACGTTATTTCTAAGCCGTGCCCTCGAGCCACAACTGCAGCTCTGTCTGCGCGTCAATGGCTACAAATTCTGAATCCAGAATGGTGTTTGTTGGGGCACAACTGCACCTCCTTATAAATGCTAACGCCTTCTGAGACGTCTCAAAGGCCCTCCTCCAGCCACGACTGCAGCTCATTCTGCCCGCCAACGCCGTCCGAAACCCGGGCGCTGCTGGCCCTTGCAAGAAACGCAAGTGCGGGTGCCGGAATCAACGGGCTAAAGCTCTCCTGCTGGGGCAATGGGTCAGACAACTCCTGTTCCGCTGCATGGGTGTGCCCTGCTGCATGGGTGTGCCCTGCTGCATGGGTGTGCCCTGCTGCATGTGTGTGCCCTGCTGCATGGGTGTGCCCTGCTGCATGTGTGTGCCCTGCTGCATGGGTGTGCCCTGCTGCATGGGTGTGCCCTGCTGCATGGGTGTGCCCTGCTGCATGGGTGTGCCCTGCTGCATGGGTGTGCCCTGCTGCATGGGTGTGCCCTGCTGCATGGGTGTTCCACATGTCATGCTCACTCTGAGGTACCACAAAATTAGGTTCGAGGCGCATAAGGAATCCTGCTGCCGTCCTGCCCTTCCCTTCATTACTTTCCCGCCTGCTGTCACTGTGTGCACATGGTGACTTGTTTACTCACCAACACGGTCCTTCAACCCAAAAGCCTGACATTTCCCTCCCCCCCTCACCGTGTTCCCACATCTTCCCTCCTTCCATCCAGATTGCTGGAACGGTGACCTGGCTGGCAGCAAGAATTCCCTTTGTAAGCACCTCAAACTTTAACTACCACACCCCCTCTCCTTTCTTCCCTATTCCCTTGGTTGGTAGCAGATGGTGGAATGGTGCTCCGGCAAGAGCGCCTTCTTTTGCACGCAATACTGATACGGCACACTGGAACAAATTCATGGTCCTTCATTTTGTACAGATTATTTGTAACGTACTGGTGCAGAACCCTGGCTTTGTGTTGCTTGCAGTGTTTGGTGTGGCATTTTGACTATGCTGCACCAGCGAGCCATGACTGCAGCTCCTTTTGCACGTCAGTGGATACAGCGTATGCTATACAGGGAAACATAAACTACAGAGTGTACCATAACTGCACAAGTACAACAAACCAATAAAGGAATTAGAGATGGGCATCCTAAGCTGTACTTTCGAGCCATGACCGCACCTCCTTCCGCACATCAACGGCTACAAAGTCTAAAATAACTTCTGAGTCGACTCAAGAGTCAACTCGCTACAATGTCACACTAAGCTGCACACTAATCTGCATATCAATCTGCAAACTAAGCTACACACTAAGCTGCACACTAAGCTGCGCCCTCGAGCCACAATTGCAGCTCCTTTCTCACGTCATCAGCTGCAAAGTCTGAAACACGGATGGTGCTTGTTCCCCCCAGGAACGCAAACACTGGTGCAGGAATCACGGGCCCAAGCATTTCCTGCTGAGCCAAAGAACCACTCACTGCATGCCCTGCTGCGGCCGGGAACGCTGCAAGTTGAGGTGAATGAGGTTTGCGCATTGAAGGTACCGGTTCGCTCCTGTGGGCTGTTTGCTGCACCAAGCCCGCACAATGCATGGTCTGGGATTCGAGTCGATTGGCTAAGCAACCTTGGAGTTGCTGCCTTGAAAAAACTCCTTGTGTCAATCGTGCTCCTTGCATCTCCTGTGTTTCTTCTCTCGAGCCTGCACCGCGTGTCCCTTCCTGTGTGCCCATATCAACCATCGCTGCTGCACCGGGTGAGTTGTCGGTCAGCAGTGTCATGTGTGGTGTCCAGGGCTGAGCTGCTGCGTGCGTTGGCGTGCGAACAGCACAACTCTGGAACTTCCTTGAAGATCCGGGAGTATCTACCTGCTGCTGTTGCTGCTGTTGCTGCTGTTGCTGCTGCTGCTGCTTCTGCTGCTGCTGCTGCTTCTGCTGCTTTTGCTGCTTCAGCTGCTGCTTCTGCGTTAGTCTCACCTTCTCCTTCACCTCCTCAGAAGTATAAGCACGCAGAGGAGCGGGGCGGTGCTCGTCCTGTCCGGAAACGAAACCCCCACTGCCTGTATTGAATTATGTGATGCCACCAATCAAGTTCTTGCTGCTCCACATACACAGATCCTCTGGTGCAGCCATTCTCTCGGGGCCCACACGAGCACAGGCTTGGTCACAGGCTTGTGCATAGGCTTGGTCACAGGCTTGTGCACAGGCTTGGTCACAAGCTTGTACGTAGGCTTGGTCACAGGTTTGTGCATATGCTTGGTCACATGCTTGGGCACAAGGTTGTGCATAGGCTTGGTCACAGGCTTGGTCAGTGGCTTGGGCACAGGCTTGGGCACAGGCTTGGGCAGGGCGAGACAGCAGTGGTGAATCCATTGCCGAGGCCGGGCGCTTCCGCAGATTCATGAGTGCACCAAGGCTGGTGGCTGTTAGGGGTTCTGAGGCACACAGGGTTGGGTACCGATGCATCGAATCGGGAATCACTGCAGGTAGCTGTGCGTCCTCGGCAGAGGGTAGCCAGTTCTGCCCTTTCGCCTGCGTGTCATGGCCGGTGGCTGTTAGGGGTTCTGAGGCACACATGGTTGGGTCCAGTGGAAAAGAAAAGGGGGCTCCAGGGAGAGTGATAGGGAGAGTGGGAGGGAAACTGGGAGCGAGAGTGGAAGGCAGAGTGTTAGGGAGGGTGGGAGGGAGGGTGGAAGGGAGAGTGGGGGGGAGAGTGGAAGGGGGAGTGGAGGGGAGGGTGGAAGGGAGGGTGGAAGGGAGGGTGGAAGGGAGAGTGGAAGGTAGAGTGGCAGGGAGATTCGCAAAGAAGGTCTCAAGCATGGCTGAAGCAGGGCGCGTTACACCAGTGATGGTGCATGCTCTGTAATTTCTCCGTATGAAGGAATCGGTCAGCGACAGCAGCAACGTTGTCACTTGTCCCATCTGCTCTGAAATCTGCTCTTGCTCTTGCCGCTCAGAGCCCAGCCGGCTAGAGGTTTCTTGCTGAGGATTCTCCAAGAGCCGACTCGTGCCTATCTCAGAGGGTTCTACCATAATGGTTCTGCCGGGCAGCGACCTGCATTCAAGCAGACTAGTACTAGAAGTAGTTGTCGTAGTTTCTATAGGATAATTCGATCAGATCGGAAACTGAGTGCAAGGTTGTCCGACAGGAATGTGGTACCTGGTAGTACGGCTCGGAGCCGAATTACTAATTCCCAATGCCGGCGGCTCTGACCGGCTCCTTGAAAGGAGCATTAGAGCAGCCGCTGAAGGACAGAAGCACGCTTGTGGGCGGATGGTCATTCCTTCCTTGAAGGAAGGCCAAAAAAAAAAAAAAAAAAAAAAAAAAAAAAACATTTAAGAAATTACCCTTTACTAAGTCATCAGCAATCCAGCAGTGGCGCATACGCATGCTCGATAACTCCCCGACTTGGCGAAAAGTGCGGCCATCCACGATGGACGAGGCGCGGTTTAGCAGGTCTGGTTAAACAAGGTGTTGTGTCCGGTACTACTACCAGTGGGGACACTGTCTCAAGTTACAAGGGTTCAAATGAGAAGTTGCGAATTCCGTAGTCATGCCGTCGTGACTTGTGCGTGGAAGCTGTTCAAGTGTTCTGGGGAAAGAAACGACCCTTTTTTTGCCTTTCACCACGATGTCACCACCACCATAGTGTCAAAAGTTTTGCAAACCAGAACAACAGTGATTTTTTGTCTCGCGGGATTGGTTCATTTTCCATATTGCTGATAAACACGAATCAAGCGCCGTCCAGAATACACATAGCGGCGGCTAGCAACTGTTGTACCGAAACTATCTGTGCGTTTGTCACGCGTGACACGCAGGGCACAATGAAGAACAGTCCGGAGGGAGTGGTTTCTTCTTGTCCTTTCTGCAGTACTGTTCACGTAACGGGTCTCCCGAATTTTGACGTGGCCCATTTCAGGGCTGCTGGGGTGATTTCAGATATCAACAGGTCTGCGCTCAAAATTCATGCTGTAAATTAATATTAACCTAAAATGTCGGCTGGTCACTTTATGGGCACGAACACTTCATTGGATTTCCCTGAGATTCTGGATCACAAAAGAGTGTCTGTCTGGGGTGCCCACCAACAGAAAGTATTCGCCTTGGCGATTCAAATGATCTCAAAGTGCGAAACGCATGTTCCTTTCGGTTCTCGTTACCAAAAATCAGATCCTTCAGGGCACGAAGGCTTGTCTCAGCTCAGCCATCAGACAAAAATCTAGCAAAGAGACGAGTTTGCGGGGTGAGGACGTGTTACGGTTCGCCTCTGATTGCCCCGATCAGAGTCGATCAATAATTTCCTGGATGCTAGGGTGGCGATTTCGGGCAATCGGGGGCAATCACTTGATCGCGATCAATTGATCGCCCCAACTCGATCAGCCGCCTAAAAAGCCCGATCAAACACAATCCCACGCAATCACTGACGATCAGTTGATTGCATTAGGTTGGGGTACTAAACGACGCCCGCGAAAAGTTACAGCGTATTTCTGGGTTCCGTGAAGCAACTCGCACAGCCAACCACCCAAGCAAGAACTTTCTGGATGCGCCTGTTTATGCGAAGTTACAGAGAAACGGTAAAATTCGCTAGATCAATGTCGAGGCCTTCGCCCTCGCCAAATTGGCCCAGAAGGAGCCGGGAAAGGGTTGCAAGCTTGCCGTGCACCCTCGCTGTATTTTCGCGGAAAATTTTTTCTGATCGAGCGGCGCGAGCGATGCAATCAGAGGCAACCCGATCAGAACAGCCCCGACCCGATCAACCCCGATCAGAGGCGAACCGTAACACGTCCTTAGAATTCGGTATACTGTACGTTACGGTGATTTGCTGCGGTCAGAACATTGCTACTCCCTGACAGTGGGCATGCACTGGTATTTCACAAAAACTAATGAAAATAGCAAAACGCGGGCTGTCAGTTCACCATCTCGGAGATGCCAACCAAACAAATGGCCCCCCTCGCCCTGCGCTGGATGACAGACCCCATCCACGCTCCCCTGTCCTTTGCGGACGAAGTGGTCACCGACTCGAGTGCGGTGCGGAATGATCGCCTGAACAAAAACACCCTCTCTAACCGGCTGACTCGCCGGCCGTCAGCTCGTCAGCCGTCAGCTCGCCGGCCACCGGCTTATACGACCGGCCGGGCAGAGGTAAAACGTTAGGAGTTGCACGTCTCGCATGCGAAATATCAATAGCTCAATGATGCTTCTCACGGTACCAGTAATGTTAACGTTTGTATTGAAGTTCTTATATAGTATCTATACAATTATGTATAGTTCATGTATTCATCAGTCCAGATCAGTATCGAACTATTAATAATTATGCTTTAGAAACTTTCAGCGAAAAAAAAAGTCTTTCCCCTTCTCCAAGCTGATAACAGATTGCAAGGCCTTTCCTACCACAACCCACTCCCCTCCCCTTCCTCTCCCCCATTCCCATGCTGATAAATTTTGTCGAATAGTGCAGCAATTGGCGGCGTTGCAGCATGTGCAGAGAGAATTCAGCAGAATGCCACACACTGGCCGTAGTGGTGCAAATGCAAGGACTCACAAATACAGAAAGACAATAGAGAGGCTGCCACAGTTGACAACCACAGCTACGTCAAGCTCAAGCATATGCAACGTGAATGGTTGTATATGCATCATTTCTTCGGAAATGTGCCGCGTGTTTTGCTGCGTGAGGAGACGGGTAGTGCGGGGCTTGGATAGTCCCTTACGCCTTTGCGGAACGAAGCATCGCGGTGAGGCTAACAGAGAATCGTTGCATAGCCCGTATGATTTGTGGCGCGACGCGCATGGGCTTATGGCGTGTGTAAAGGGGTATTATTTAGTCACAAGAGCTTGGCAAGAGGAAACTAGGATCGCGGTCATTCCCGATAAAGTATGTGCGCTAAGGATCTCGCGCCGTGGTCAGAACGCACCTGCACATCGAGGCAGAGAAGTGCTACGATGGCATCAATGTCGCAGCCACAGGCGACGAGCGCGGTTGTGTACTTCTCCGTCTCTTTCTTGGAGTTTGCAATGTTTAGCTGGGTCGATTGGGTTTGGTACTTGCACAGAGTGACGAGAATAAGTACAAAGTATGAGAACCGCCTTACTTATCTAGTGGAGACGGGGTGCTGGACAAGGTTGCTTGGATGAGTGGTGTTGTTCTCGCATGTCGCATTAGGTTTTTGGCGACGTGGTGGTTGGGGGTGTTGATGTCGCATTCGGCCTCGGGTAACCTTGGCGAGGTTGCCCTGGTCCGCGACCATCGTTTGTTATTTTCGACACTTCCTGTGTTCGCGGGCCTATCGCTATTCCTGAACCCAATCAACCTTCCTAAGGTTGAAGTTCCAGCTCAAGGCCCAAATTGCGCAAGAATAGTAATCTTGCGCAAGGATTTGGGCTGTTCTAGAAAGTCTTGGGAGGGTGGGGTTGACCTATTTCGCACAAGCTCTCGCAACACTCGCTGAGTCAGCAAACCCCAGGGCCAACTTTCTGTTTTGGATCCGAGAGTCCCAGATTGAGAAATACTCAAACTTGAAGTTTTGGCTCTGAGATTGGCCTCGACCAATCAGATTCACTCGTACCTACTGTAACCCAAAATTCGCCAACTCACACACCCAAACAACAGCTGCGCAAGATTAGTAATCTTGCCCAGCGCGGCCCGCAATTTGGGCCTTGAGCTTTAACCGAAGTATCAAATACTGGATATACCGTACTTTACTGGGAAACTCAATTTGGCATACCGTATATACTGTAACTGCACAATTGGGTACCTCCTAAGCCACACCCTCGAGCCATGACTGCAGCTCCTTCCGCACACCAACGGCTGCAAAGTCTGAAACCCGGATGGTGCTGGCCCCCCCTAGAAACGCAACTACTGCTGCTGGAATCAACGGCTTCAACATGCTGGTAGCTTGCTGCTGGTGCAATGAGCCAAACATTGCGCACTCGGAAGTGGTTGGGAACATTGCAATCTGGGCTGAAGGAGCTGCATCCATTGAAAGGACAGGTGGATTTTGAGGAGCATCATGATACGTGCTGCTCGTATTCAGTTCTGTGCTGCTTGTTTTGAATCCTGTGCGGCATGACTTGAAATCAGAGGCACAAACGCGGGCCGGATGTTTGCTGCTCCTGGTTCGTAGCTCCTCTGGTGAAACCATAGTCACAGGGTCCACGCGCGCACAGGCTTGGGCACAGGCTTGGGCACAGGCTTGGGCGCAGGTATGGGCACAGGCTTGGTCAGTGGCACGGAGAGCAGGAGGCGGTCCATCCATCGCTGAGGCTGGTCGCTTCCGCACATTCCTAAGCGTACCAAAGGTGGTGGCTGAAAGAGGCTGTGATATACACGCGGCTGAGTCCGACAGAGCAGCAGACGGCGCTGCAGGGAGAGAGGAAGGGAGAGAGGCACGGAGAGGGGCAGGGAGAGCGGCTGTGAGAGAGGCAGGGAGATTGGCAGTAAGAGTCCCCAGCGCGGCTGAGGCAGGTCGCTTTACACCAGTGCTGTTGCTCTGCACGAAGGAATCAACCAGAAACAGCAGCAACGCTGTCACTTGATCCGTCTGCTTTGACGGCTGCTGCTGCTGCTGCTGCTGCTGGTGCTGTGGTTGTTGCTGTTGCTGCTGCTGCTGTGGTTGTTGCTGTTGCTGCTTCTCCTGCTGTCGCTGTTGCTGCAGCACCATCACATCCTGCTGGGTCTGAAACCCAGTAGCATCAGACACAGCACAGCAGCCAGTCAAAGATGTATGTTGAGTCAACGGCTCCTTCTGGGTCTGAAACAGAGGAGCATCGAATACAGCACCAGAGCCAGACAAAGAAGCACCCAGCACATGCCCCATCGGTGCTGCCATTCCCGTCCCAGAACGACCGTGCACAGACCCTTCCTCCCCATCCCCATGCAAATCAAGAATCAAGCTCTCCCCATTGCCCACCACCACACCACCAGCGGTCTGCTCCTCCTCGATCAACCCTGCGTCAGGAAATTCTGGTAGAAGTGCCACGTGTCTGGCTGTGGAACGCAGTGACATCTCTCGGAGCTCTTGAAGGTCTTGATTTGTAGGCGATATTGCTCCCAGAGAAGAGTAGATCTCATCCGTCGGATCCTCCTCCTCGCTATACAATCGACGGCCGTCATCTTCTCCTTGCATCTGAGATCTGAGATCCAGAAGCCGCAGTTCCTCATAGATTGTGGACCTCTGCATGTGAACAGCAGCAGCATTGTTGAGGTCAGTGGAGCAGCCATTAACGGGGATAAGCCCAGCCAGCCCCCGAGGAGAGGGCTGGAGGCGGGTCGGCAGGGGAGACACTGGGGAAACGTCCCACGCAGGCAGGAGATTTCTCTCTGATGGCTGCTCCTTCTGGCAGGGAGAGTGCCAGAGGGCTGCTGCGGTACAATCAGCATCAGCATCAGCAGCAGCATCCGCAGCATCACCAATGCCACCACCATGACGAGCAGAAGCACCAGCATCAGCGTCAGCACCAGCATCGGTACCACCATCGACAGCAGCAGCAGCAGCAGCACGACCAGCATTGAAAGAACTGCCTGTAGCAGCGCTCAGCATTTTTGGCGCCGGGGCATTCAGAGGCCCACCAGAATCAGCTCCCCGGCCGTTCAGATCTGCATCGGATCGACCGTCCGGGGAAGTGAGAGCTGCAGCAAGATCCGCAAGGCGAACAGCCATAGACGCTGCAGTGAAGCCAACACCACCGTGTGAAGCCGCGAGGTTGACATGGTGGCTCATGGGCCGGTCGAGAGGCCGGTAAGTTCGGCGGTAAGTGGGCCGCTTGGTAGGGCCGTCAATGGGGACGGTAGGGTGGCTGGGCGGACGGCTGATGGGAGGCGTGGGGTGGTTGTGGAGGCGGCAGCGGTAGGAGACTTGGATGGCGTGGGGGGAGAGAGGGTCGGAGCCATAGCGGCAGTTGATGTCAACGGTCTTCTTGCCGGAACAGCGCAGGCTGGTCTTGGCGCGACTGCACCTGTAGTAGCACCTGTGATGGCAGAAGAGAGGGGGAAAGGAAGGGGAGGTGGGGAGTGAGGGGGGAAGATGATGGATTCAGCAGCACAGCTGGGGATGAAACGGTGAATTCTGTCCAGCAAGGGAGAGAGGATGATGGAGCACGGGGGAGCACAGCACAGTACACATTGATATCATCATTCGCTCTGAAACTATGATAAGCAGAAACCTCTGAATCAACAGGAGGCAACTGGAGTCAACAGAAGACGACGAGCAGGAGTCAACACAAACCAACAGAATGCGAGTCAACGGGAGTCAACGGGAGTCAACGAGGCTGACCTGGTGGCGTTGGAGCGCTGCACTTGCTTCTGGCCGTACTTGAGCCAGTTGTGCCCATCGGAGCCCACCACCCGCGCCACCATCTCTTCCAACTCGCGCCGCGCCACCATCCCCTCCAACTTCAACCCCCGCAGCCCCCACTCCTGCTCCCACACCTCTCGGCTGACCGACTCATCCTCAGACAGCTGACGGCTAGCCGACGCATCCTCAGTCAGCTGACGGCTAGCCGACGCATCCTCAGAGAGCTGACGGCTAGCCGTCTCATGCTCAGAAATCTGACGGCTAGCGGGCTCCTGCTTAGGTCTCGCCAAGTGCGGAACCGATTGGTGCAAGCTTGTGTCCATCTCGGAGGCGATTGCCATAACAGCAGACAAGCTCTGGCTGTGTCCTTCCTGGAAACTGCCGGTTTGGTAGAATGGCGGCAAATGTTGAAGATGAAGGATCTTCGAAGGCCCGCGGCGCTGCCGCAGCCTCGGTTGTGGGTAGGATTAGGGCGAGCAATAGTGCTGCCTTGGAGTAGAAGCGCTAGATGTAGTAGTACTTTTGGGATACATCTCAGACTTGTAATGAAGAGTCAAAGATTGAGTGGAGTGACAAACGTGACTGTCCACCGGAAGTCGAGTAGCACTACTACTGATTGTAGTAGTGTACACATGATGCTCACCTCCTGCACGAGAAATTGCCTTGCACCGGATGGAAACCTTGCACCCGTGGGTTTTGTGCCGTGAGGTTGCACCCACGTTACAAGCACGTCGACCAATAGAAACCACAGAAACTGAAACCTGACTGAAGAGACTGCAGTCAAACAGTCAATGGTGAGTTACAAAGTTTTTTATAAGCCCTTTTTGCCCGAAGCGAATTAACGAAACCTCCGCGAAATGCAGGAATCGCTTATAAGCCCAGAGGGTAAGGCAAGGTCGGGGGGCTCAATTGGGCATCGTGTGTACTGCATCTGCTGGGGTGGTGGTTCTTGCTGGGCTCGCGCAAATCTGTGAGCACCGAGTCACCGACCTTTGGAAAGGCCGACTTCTGCCTGCCGCCTGCTCGAGAAAACCTGTGGACAGTCCTTCTTGATAAGGCCGTGACGTACCTTGCACGGGCTGCCTGGCCGGACAACGGAGAGAATCCCCCTCTCTGTCATCTGCCATCACGCATGCAAGATAATCTCGGATTACCCTCGGAGGTTCCAAATCCAGTCAAATCAGTCCAGTTGTCAGCGGGACAAGTGGCGAGAAACGCCGGGCGTGGCCAGCGGGACTTGCCGTTGCAAGTCGGATCGCCAGCTTGGTTCAGGGGTGTGTTGTTGATTGCGGTGATTCGTGTCGTGACTTGCACGCCGGAAGCGAACGAATGCTGACGGGGCTGATCCGCGACGCGGACTCCCCTCGTGGTTCATGGGAGACGGAATGGAAAGAAGAGCTCCTTTCGGAAGGAGCAATATTGGTTCGAGGGGAAACACCCTAGCGAGACTCGGCGGATATTTTTTGTGACGGGGTTGAGGGTCAGCATAAAATTCCCGTCATTGATCGTGTACCTTTGGTCCAACTCTGTTGTACACGCGCTGCTGTGTACAGACATCGCCCACAGACATCGGCCACAGCGCGCCTACCTGTTGCTCATTCTGCTCCATGCGTCACCACGTGCGAGGGGTTTAGGGTCTTCGCGGTTCCACATTGTACTTCTACTGTACATAATGCGGTCCACCACACGTTTGGCAGCAGCATACTAGCTAGAGCACGCTGCGAAAAAGAAGTTTCTTTTCTTCCCGTCTTAGGTTGACAGCTCACTCATCAAGTCAACAAGATTCCTAAATTTGGTAGTGATGACGCCAGCACATGGTCGCAGTGATGACCCCCACTCCCGCAACGGCGAAACAGTCTTCTCGTCCTAAACAACTGAACATGACGTAGGCTAGAGCAACGGAAATCTTCTGGCTACTGTACTACACGGAACAAATGAGTGGGCCTTCAGCAGTGCCTAGGATTGCTTTCATTGCAAGGCAACCACGAACAAGAAACCAAGGATCACCAGGTTCAATGTACCATGCGCGCGCAGTTTGCTATACAAAAGTTTCCGTTCCGAGGATTCATCCAGCTCGTTCTCGCGCTTGATTGGCTAAAAAACATGATCGGCGAATGCTTGATTGGGCAGCTGGATTACCAAGCCCGCACTTGAACCACGACATACCCTAGGCGCCATCCGTGCTGTGCATTCCTTGCGTCACGCCGTCACCGTTGACAAACGCAAATTGCATGGCATGGAGTTCTCAAGAAGTATGGCTTGAACTGATCCCCCATTGTAAACGCCTCGTTCTGCCAAATGCATCTCCATCTCCACCCTAAACATGTTTCCAAAGAGGAAAGCTAAGATTGAGAATTTGAGACACCAGACTGTACAAAACGTCCCAAATCAGAAATAATGTCAACAGGATTACGTCATGTTTAGATTATTGTACTAACACAATGCATAACAATTTAAGTGCTATAATAAAGAGCACAGCTGGGGCAAACTGCTGCTAAAACCATGTTAATCCGAGAAAGGGAGCATTCCTTCCTAACCTGCACCCTTGAGCCACGACTGGAGCTTTCTCCGCACACCAACGGCTGCAAAGTCCGAAACCCGCGAGGTGTTGGCCCCTCCCAGGAACGCAAACACTGCTTCAGGGATCAACGGCCCAAACACTTCCTGCTGCAGCGGTGGGCTGGAGAACCCCTGCTGGCCCGAGAGCCGAATCAGTCTCTGCTGAACTGATAAGGCAAACGCGTCGTGATAACCCGATGGTGCTTCATACAATGAATCAGGAATGCTGTTGAGCCTTGTATCACTACAGTGTGAGCTGATGCGTTGCTGCGCATCCCACATTGCGCCACATGCCCGCAGCTTACCCCCACACGCCCTCACCTTGCCCCCACCATACACCTTCAGCTCATCCCCACATGCCTTCGGCTCAACCCCACACGACTCGTGTGGCTGCGGCGCCATGAGCTGCTGGCGCTTGCATGATGCAGCAACAGCAGTCAGATGGGGCAAGAGGGACTCAGAGGAGAGTTGTTGACTATTGCACGTCACAACGCCACCACCAGTCTCACTCGCCCTCCCATGACCAAACGTGTTGCCGCTGATGCTGCCGCTGCCACTGCCACTACGTGCTGCCACATGACTCTTGATAGCCCTAGCAACCAGCTGATTCTTCTTCTCCCGGATGCTGCTACTGCATGTAGCAAACCTCCGAAAAGCCCGAACCCCCTTTTTGTTCAGCGCCCCCATGCTGCTGCTGCCGCGTGTGGGTGTTTCAGCCCCCTCCACCACCATGCTCACACTCCATGCTCGCTCCATCACACCCCCATCCACACCACAGTCCGCAGTGCTCGAATCAGGGGGGGGCAGAAAGGTATCAGTGGCCGCGCTGAGAGTGTGATGTGCCCCGTGCCACGACGCAGGGGTGCAGGGGACAGGCAGAGCAGCAGATGCAGCCATGGCAGAGTTTTGTCGCGCCTCAGTAGCCGTGGCAAGAGCGTGATGCATGCAGGGACGAGAGGCGGGAGCGTGGAGGGCAGGCAGAGCAGCAGGCGCAGCCATGGTAGAGTTTTGACAAGCCTCAGTAGCTGTGTCAGGAAAGTAATGCATGCAGGGCCTAGAGACAGGAGTGGATGGGACAGGCAGAGCAGCAGGCGCAGCCATGGCAGAGTTTTGGCGAGCCTCACTACCCGTGGTCGGTACAGCAGGCAGAGCAGCAGGCGCAGCCATGGCCGAGGCAGGTCGCTTGGCATGTGTGCTGTGTGGCATGGCGTTTGAGAGAGCGAGCAGGATCGTGTTTAGCTGCTGCTCTTCCTGCTGCATTGATGACAGCTGCTCTTGCTGCGCCTGTCTTCTCTGCTGCTGCTGCTGCTGCTGCTGCTGCTGCTGCTGCTGCTGCTGCTGCTGCTGCTGCTGCTGCTGCTCCTGCTGCTGCTGCTGCTGCTGATTCTGCATATGACGTTTCTGCTGCTGTTGCTTTTGCCTCTCTCGATCTTGTATCAGCTGAGAGAGGAGACTAGCAGAACGAATCAGCAATGTGTGACAATCATACTCAGTGACACCAGGATCGACACCAAGGTTGACACCAGGGTTGACACCATAATCGACATCACCGCCGATTTCAATCGATGCTACAACTCCCGAATGATGCTCACTGCGAGCTATAACTCCCCGGTTACACCCACTCGGTGTTACACCCGTGGTTACCACTCCCAGCTCATACATAAGCTCATCCTCCCGGGTCAAGCAAGCGCTTCCCTCTGCTCCTGCTGCCTGCGAGCCCAAGGCACTGAGCGTGTTTCCCATCGACTCAAGCGGGGAGTCGAAGGGAGAGTCGAGGGGAGAGCCGAGGGGGGAAGTGAGGGGGGAAGTGAGGGGGGAATGGAGCAGGGATTCAAGGGGGGAATCGAGGGGAAACAGGAGCGGGGAGACCAGAGAGGGCTCCAGCGAATCACGGCGCAAGATCACTGCCTCATAATCCTCTGCGTGTTTCTCCGCGCTCTGGAGTGTGCTTGGCGATGCGAGCGAGTGACACATGCCCGCACGACCCTCCTCCACGTGAGCCTCCATGCCCGGGGATGTACCGGGCCATGCGATGGGGTCCCACATGCTTGCCCATTCCGCCTCAGGCTGCTGCTGCTGCTGCTTCTGGTGGGCCCAATCGAGGCTGGCGTGGCATTCATTGAATGACAGGGGCACAGGAAGCCCCCTGGAAAAAGCCAAAATTTCAGCAGAATTTGGACCGGCGAGAGCAGGAGCAACAGCAGGCGCGGTAGTAGTAGCCACAGGAGAAGCAGAAGCAGCTGCAGGAGCAGGAACAACAGGAGCAGCAGCAGAAGGAGGAGGAGGAGGAGGAGGAGGAGGAAAAACAGGAGGAGCGGCAGCAGCAGCAGCAGCAGCAGCAGCAGCAGCAGTAGTGGTGGCGGTTGTGGCGGCTGCTCCGGCGGCAGTGCTCGCATGGTTGGGAGGCGCGGGTGGTTGTGGAGGCAGCAGCGGTAGGCGACTTGGATGGAGTCCGGGGAGAGTGGCTCCGAGCCGTTTCTACAGTTGATGTCAACGGTCTTCTTGGCTGGGCAGCGCTGATTGCCCTTGGCACGACTGCACTTGTAGTAGCACCTGGTGATGGCAGAGGGGACGCGGTGGGGCGGGGAAAGGGGAGTGGGGGAGTGAGTGAGGAAAGCGGCCCAGAACCGTGGCGGCAGTTGATGTCAACGGACTTCTTGGCTGGGCAGCGCAGGCTGGCCTTGGCACGACTGCACTTGTAGTAGCACCTGGTGGTGGCAGAGGGGACGCGGTGGGGTGGGGAAAGGGGAGTGGGGGAGTGAGTGAGGAAAGCGGCCCAGAACCGTGGCGGCAGTTGATGTCAACGGTCTTCTTGGCTGGGCAGCGCAGGCTGGCCTTGGCACGACTGCACTTGTAGTAGCACCTGGTGGTGGCAGAGGGGACGCGGTGGGGTGGGGAAAGGGGAGTGGGGGAGTGAGTGAGGAAAGCGGCCCAGAACCGTGGCGGCAGTTGATGTCAACGGTCTTCTTGGCTGGGCAGCGCAGGCTGGCCTTGGCACGACTGCACTTGTAGTAGCACCTGGTGGTGGCAGAGGGGACGCGGTGGGGCGGGGAAAGGGGAGTGGGAGAGTGAGTGAGGAAAGCGGCCCAGAACCGTGGCGGCAGTTGATGTCAACGGTCTTCTTGGCTGGGCAGCGCAGGCTGGCCTTGGCACGACTGCACTTGTAGTAGCACCTGGTGGTGGCAGAGGGGACGCGGTGGGGCGGGGAAAGGGGAGTGGGAGAGTGAGTGAGGAAAGCGGCCCAGAACCGTGGCGGCAGTTGATGTCAACGGTCTTCTTGGCTGGGCAGCGCAGGCTGGCCTTGGCACGACTGCACTTGTAGTAGCACCTGGTGGTGGCAGAGGGGACGCGGTGGGGTGGGGAAAGGGGAGTGGGAGAGTGAGTGAGGAAAGCGGCCCAGAACCGTGGCGGCAGTTGATGTCAACGGTCTTCTTGGCTGGGCAGCGCAGGCTGGCCTTGGCTCGACTGCACTTGTAGTAGCACCTGTGGGGGACAGGCAGAGGGAGGGGATGGGGGGAGCGGATGGGGGGAGCGAGTCGTTGCGGCAGTTGATGTCAACGGTCTTCTTAGCAGGGAAGAGCGGGACGGCCTTGGCTCGACTGCACTTGTAGTAGCACCTGGTGATAGGGGGGAAGAGTGGAGGATGATGGATCGACAGGGGGGACAAGACAATGGTCAAAAGGACGGGAAGAGATGGTGAACATGACGGAGGACCTGAATCAACGAAAAGCTGACCTTAGTCAGCAGAAGTCAACACAAGTCAACAGAAACCAACGCAAGTCAACAGAAGTCAAAAGTCAACGCGAGTCAACGAGGCTGACCTGGTGGCGTTGGAGCGCTGCACTTGCTTCTGGCCGTACTTGAGCCAGTTGTGCCCATCGGAGCCCACCACCCGCGCCACCGTCTCCTCCAACTCCCGCCGCGCCGCCATCTCCTGCTGAGAATTACCCATTTTTTTCGAGGAATTTACGCATTCTAGCTGGGGAGCAGCAGCAGCAGCAACGGCGGCGTCACGCTCCGCTGCAGCCTGATGCAGCAAAGGCAGCTGCAACGGCTGCTGCAACGGCAGCTGCAACGGCTGCTGGTGGGCAACTGCTGTCGCCTGGGACTGCTGGTGGGCAACTGCTGTCGCCTGGGACTGCTGGTGGGCAACTGCTGTCGCATTCATCGTCATCATCACCTCCACCACCACCATAAATTTGGGTTGGGAAGAGACTTTAATCGTCTTCCGGAAAAGCACTTCAGCAGCGCCTTCGAAGCTGCTTATGAGAAACCCGAATGAGATGAGGATTCTAGAAGAAAGAATGTGGGGGAAAGGGGCTGTAGAAGCGCTGCAGAAACTTCTTGAGGAGGATAGAGGAACGGTAAGGGGAACGGTAGGGCCACGTGGGAACGCTAGGGGGAAACGGTAGGGGGAAACGGTAGGGGGAAACGGTAGGGGGAAACGGTAGGGGGAAACGGTAGGGGGAAACGGTAGGGGGAAACGGTAGGGGGAAACGGTAGGGGGAAACGCTAGGGGGAAACGCTAGGGGGAAACGCTAGGGGGAAAGGTAGGGGGAAACGGTAGGGGGAAACGTTAGGGGGAACGGTAGGGGGAACCGTAGGGGGAACGGGAGGGGGAAACGGTAGGGGGAAACGGTTGGGGGAACGGTTGGGGAATGGTAGGGGGACCGGGGAGGGGAAACGGAAGGGGGAAACGGCAGGGGGAACGGGAGGGGGAACGGGAGGGGGAACGGGAGGGGGAACGGGAGGGGGAACGGGAGGGGGAACAGTAGGTAGGGGACACGGAAACGGTAGAAACTGAATTCTAACACGTAGTCTAAAAACTAGAACGGTAGGGTGAACGATATAGAACACGGTAGGGAAGACGAAGGGGAACCCGAGATCAATCCCCGTGTAGATGCTGCTGTGTGTCGCTGCTGCTTCGGAGTGGTGAGTTTCAAGTGCTAAGCTCAGGAGCCATAAGGACAAGTAAAGTTTCAGGACGGGGAGAATCAGGGTGATAGGGTCGTTGTAGGAGCGCGGACAGAGATACCGTCTAGTAATGCCAGTGCTTGAAACGGAAATACCGTCTTGTATTGGTGCTTGCGAGACGACATATCCATTTCAGATGAGGAGAGGAGGAACGAGAGCAGCCACAAGAAAGGAGACGATTTTTTCGCCTCAGAAAACCGATTCTTGAGCTGTTTCGCGAGACGAGGAGGAGGAGGAGGAGGAGGAACGAGAGCAGCGCTCCAAGATTGAACACACTAACAGAGCTGAAAGTAGTGGAGGTGGTAGTAGTGATAGTGGTACAACAAGTGGTGGCAGTGGTGGTACAAGTGGCCTTTCCCTGGTCTATCCGTGAGGAACCTCAGAATGAACGCCGTGTGATTGACGCCGCTCTGGCTACAACTTGAAGGGGAAAGAAGGCTACTAGCGCAGCAGCCCTCGCCGGGTGCTGGGGAAGCAGAACCTCAGGTTACAAAAGGCTGGCGGGAAAAGCGACAAACCCGCTGCGCGTGACTCGGAGGTTCCCTTCTGGGTGTGGTGGAGACGCATTATCATCTAGACGGGTCTGCATGGGTGGCCCACTAGCACGATCGAATCTATAAGGTGTGCTCTGCCTGCACTGTAGTGCCGAGCTTCAAACCAAAGGCGGCGTGCCAGTCACCGCACAAACGGTCACAGCACACCGTCACCACCCAATCGGCACCACCCTGCGCACAACGGTCACCACGGAATGGCCACCACGGAAGGCTCATTACCCAATGCTCACCACCCACAGTCACAGCGCAGCGTCCTCGAAAGCCCAACCCTTGCAGCGCCTACTGACACGTGTACACTGTATGGAACTCACTATCCAACTCGGATGTACTGACGCCTGTACTGAACTGACACCTGTACGCTGTACGGAAATCACTATCCAACTCGGATGTGTACGGACACCTGCTAGTGGTACATACACTCCTCCATCCGCGCCTCGTCGCCACAGACGGCTGAGGTTAATTGGCCGAGCAATCGGGCGGGATGATTGGGTGCTACGGAACGGACGGCAACAGCAGTCGTGGAAGCACGCAGGAGCGGCGAAGATCGCTTCGCAGAGTCGCGAATCTCGCGAATCTCTCGAAGGATTGACCAACTTAGAACGGGTGGGGGGTTTCGCCAAATCTTGCTAAGCGGAGACGACGCTGGAAGATGAGGCGAGATGAGAGGAAACGAGGCGAGAGGTGATAAAAGAGATGATGTGCAGGGAGGGAGGGAGCAGCCGTCCGTGACCTCACTGCTGATATACCTCGACTGGAACCTCCGAGGTATAAGCAGAGTCTGCTAGGCTCATTTTCTTGCCAATGTGCCAGTGGTGCTGGAGGTTCGCGCCTGAATGTTCTCGATTCACGAATCAAGAACGGTAGGACGAAACGAAACCCTAGCGGGGTTCAAGATTCGGACCCGAATGATACAGTAATGTTATGTTCAGGAGAGTTGCCGTCCAGGTTGAGTGAGTGACACGGCAGCAGCGGGATCCCGCTGACAGACTCAACCCAAAACATCACCTGGTCCGAGTGATTGAGTTCAGTCGTCACGTCAACGATTGGAAGCAACCACTCACCTCGAGGTCACTAGCTTCTATAGGAGCAAGTAATACTGTACAGAGATGCTTGGAGAGCCTGATTGGAGATCCTTGAACACAGTCAGCGGGTCACTGTCTCTCTGCTGCAAGCAAAGCCAGAGAGGATTGCTACTAGCAGAAGGCCTTCCATTGCTGTAACGCAAGGCTTGTACGCGTTACTGCTAAGCAACACATGGATGGACCAATGGCAGAATTTGACCGGTTGCGCACCACTGCCGAGTGTTCTATCCTGTCGTTTCGCGACCCTCGTCGGAGGACGAGTAGTAACGACTTCTGTCCTGTCTCGTCACTTGTACTGGCAGGTCAAAGAAACAACAGCAAGTTCCGTCGTGTTCGTGCTTTCCATAACTCAGCAGCGCAGCATCTAGTGTGTGAAGTAAGGCGGCAAGGGGAGAATTGACAAAGAGGCTGACCTAGTAAAACAGGCAGCAAGGACGGACGTTGCTCCGGCTCATCCTTTTTCCCCTCCACTTGGAAACCCATGGAACTTTCATGCACCAAGCCATGAAAGATGAACTTGCAACCGCAACGCGGTTGGAGCAGACTACAGACGTGTACCTTCTAAGAACATCAACTTACTAGATTCACGAACGCCTTTCGCTGAGTCAAAGGAAATGCCAAGGCGGCTGCGCATCTCTTCTTGGCACCCACCGACAGTTTCTCACAGTTCCACCCAACCCACAGAACCAGTGCTTCCCTTCTTCCCTTCAAGACTCCCACCCAGTTCTTTGGTGTACAGAAATATGCTCATGTAACGAATCATTCTCTTGACTGTGACCACACGAAACTTCTGTTCCGTTGTAATCAGAACATGCGCGTCCGTTAATAATCATAGAGGAAGAAACTGCCATCGTTATGAAACAACCATGATGGTCCACAGGTCTACGATCACCCATGTTTTGATTCAAAATTTATGCCAATGACTCAACACACGGCTCCAAAATTTATCATTTTTTTTTTTGTAACGAAACAAAATTTTATATTTTCGTCTGAAGGTCAGCTTTGTGCTGTGTCCCTCGCTGATCTAAATTGTTCAGACCAGAAAAGGGATTCCTATGGTACTGTTTTCTTTACTCATATACGTGACTTTTCAACATGACTTGCGCAGGAACGATTCTCACTCCATAAGACAACCTCGATAGCTCACCCTGCTCGCTGGGACCACATGAGTCCTGCTGCGTCAAGGCCACGCCAGATCCTGTCCCATCCGAGTCAGCAACCCCACACTCGCCCTTCCCGCCACCACGTGAACCCTGATCCCACCTCAGACACGCGAATCGGTTCCAGAAGTTTCGCCGTGGTTTGCTCCTGACGCAGCCGATCTCTCCCTCGCTCGGTCCCCGCGCCGTTTAGAATCTCCCCGGCGGCTGACATCGCACCGCGTACCCGCTCTGTGTCGCATCGCTTCAAATCTTCCACCAATCCTTCGGCGCTTCATGCGGCGCGGCACGGCTATCCTCCGCGCTTCCCGCACCAGCCGACCATTCTTGCAGGCGCTGGGGATCTCACCGTTATCCGTTGAGCCGGTCGCCTGTAACGGTTCTGCTTGTATCGGAACCAGGAATCTGTTGGCGGGAGTTCCTGTAACGGGGATTGGATGTAGAGGGCTTTCTTCTATTTCTGTTCGTTCAGCACTCCGGCAAGGTTCTTTAATCGGTGGATCTATTAATATCGGTCCCAACCTCCAAGTTGGAGCGTTAGATCAACGGCGCTTGATTCATTCCTCCTTGCTACCCCACGATATAGCCGCGTCGCAGCAGACGCAATCCACGTCAGCGATGGCGTCATCCGAGGAGACGATTTTGGTGGAAAAGGACACGTCAGCAGCCACGGTGATGCTGAATCGGCCCAAGGCACTCAACTCCCTGGACACGTACATGGTGTGTAACACTCTCTGGTAACATCGCGTGGGAACGCCACGTGGCAACACCCCGTAACACCCCGTGGTATAAGTTGATGATGACAAAGAGTTGATGGGGCTATGGTGATGGTGGGGGCATGGTGCTGATCTGATGATAATGGTTGGTGTGATGGTGTGATGTTGATGATGTGATGTGTGATGACATGAGATTCAGATGATATCATGTGATGTGATATGGAAAAATAAATTTATTAAAGAAGTTGATGAGATGACATTTGATGTGAGGAAGCACTATGAACTGGAGATGAGGTGAGATGAGATTTGTATGTGACGAGAGGAGAAGGAAGAGGGATAGATTAAATAGCATCAATAAACAACCCCCCCCCCCCCCCCCCCCCCACTTTCCCCCCTCCGCTCCCCTTCCCCAACCCCCCCACACCCCTTCTTGTTAAACACCTTTCCATCCTCGCACCACCAGGTG